AATTTTGACAGGCACCTGACTGGATCAGACAGTTTTAATTTGAAAATTACGTGCCTGTCAAAATTTCGGAGTAAATCGACGTAAAAGATGACAAAAACGAACACGGCTAGAGATATGTATATCCAGTATCACAACAAGGAATCGTCCTCGTCCCTCTCAACATTACGTCAGATTTTTAATTTTTTTAAAATCATAGTTGTACAAATTGAAAAGCTGTATTTACTATAATACATTAATAACTAATTATACATTAATTAAATACAAATAAATACTTTTGAATCCAAGGGGCAAATCACCTAGAAATTCTTTGCCAAAACTGTGGGGAATTTAGAGGAATTTGTGGGGCATTTGCAGAAATTTGTGAGGAATTTAAAGACATTTATGGGAAATTGGAGGATTGTATCGGTATAATAAATTGGGGGAATTTTTTGGTTTTAACACTGAGCATATAAAAAGTTGAAAAATACATTTTTTATCACGAACAATTTTGGTAATTTTCAGGGAATCTGTAATAGACATTTGCAGGGAATTTACGAGCAGTTTGGAGAATTTTGGAGGAATTTGCAGAAAGTTTAAGGCATTGTTTGCAAAAATTCGGAAAGAGGGGAATGGTTTGTTCCATACCAACTGTGATTGAAATTATTCACTAAAGATTCGTAGACAATTTAATTGGATTTATTTCAAACCTAATAGGGCAATCCAAACAAAATGGCAGTCGATGCATGGTCAATGGCAAAAAATTGGCGCCATAAATTTAATCTAAACAACCGTGACATTTTTTATAAAAAAAACTGTTTTTTGTGTATTTTGTGGTGTTTTTAAATGATTTTCTAGTGTTTGGTAGGATAATTTTCGTATTTCAAGATGAAAAGTTTTTAGTTTAAGAAATTATTAGTGGAAAACCCGGATGTTTGCGTTTGCAAAAGTTATGATTTCTGTGTAACAAACCTTTACCTGCTAAATAACTAGGGTAGGTACTATCCAGGATTTGTTTCCATTTTGTTGATCAATAAACTGTACGATTGTTTTGAACCGATCTAGAACCGTCCTTTTTCCAAACCCGAATAGGCCTACTATATACCATTTATGCAGAGAGACTTTTTGGTTTTTTAATATGGATTTCGTAAGATTTTTTCTCTTTTGCTACAATCCATGAAGCCCTCACAAAGTACAGACAAATTATTTTTCTCCGGTAAAAACCTATTTTGTCTCTGCAGGAACGGCATGAAACTAGACTTTCTCGCGATTAGAACGGCTCCTACAACTAAGTACAATACATAACGTATGCATTTTCCAAAAAATCAACACTTTACAGACTTTATACAAATCAAAAATCACAATAAATGGTTTTTTTTTTTAAATAAAAAGGCATTGGCCTCCATTTTGAATTTCATTTTGACAGGTCGTTGGATTGCCCTATATAGGGCATGTCCATGTGACGTCACAAATGAGTTTGACAATCGCCCTGAGGTAAAACAAATCATTTTTTCACATTGGTGTAGATTAGGCCGGTTATGTTTTATGCGGTTTTCACAGCTTTTTTGCAAATTTTTGTGTTATTTTGTAAGTGTTTATGTTCCAGTCTATGTGGTCTTTTATCCAGAAGTTTGCTAGGTTTTTCTATAAAGGATTAAATTCAGGGTTTTTCCAACAAAAATCAAAACCAAGTGTCACAAGAACAAATATAAGTATAGTTACTCTATAATTAAATCTATTTTTCTGTCAGATCTTCTCTTTTAACAACATTAATCAATATTTCACTTCTTTCTTGAGCTAACAAATCAAACCTCCCATTGTTATTTAAAATTGATGGAAACCTATGTAAGGATATTGTATCCCTTGCGCTATACTGCCAGAATTAAAAACTAAACAAACTCTAGGCATGTCCAAGAAACTTCTGGACCACACAAAAGGTATTTAATTTTAAAAATCTAACTAAAAACCACTGTAAATATATCTTTGTTTTACCTCAAGGCGACTGTCAATAGTGTCAAACTGTCAAATCGTGTACTTGCCTTATTACGTTACAATCGGATTAAAATTCACAAAGTAGGTTATGAAACAAAATGTGTGTCAATGTCATTTTGGAAAAAATCAAGCTTCAAAAAACGACATTAAAGGACGTTTTATTTATTTATTTTTTTTATTAAAGGGTTTGAAGAATTGGCTCGAAATTTTGCAAGTGGATAAAGAAAAAATTGAAATTTAGGAAAAATTAAAAGTTTCCTTCTGATCGTTCACCTTTAAGGAGCAAACCATCTAGGAATACTTTCCCAAAAGTGTAGGGAATTTAGAGGAATATGTGGAGAACTTGAAGGAATTTATGGCAAATTGGAGGAATGTATAAGAAATTGGGGGAATTTATTGATTTCAACACTAAGCATAATAAAAATACAAAAATACATTTCTTATCACGAACAATTTTGAGGATTTTTATGATGGAATTTGTAACAGGCATTTGCAGGGAATTTGGAAGAATTTGTGGGGAATTTGAAGGAATTTGCGGGTAGTTTGAGGAATTATTTGCACAAATACGGGGGATGGTATACCCTTTGTTTGAATTCATTTAAATACAAATAAATAAATTTAAATATACCCATAAAATATGACAAATCTCTATTATGAAATGTAGTAGCCCCGAATACAAAAAACGAAATAATGATCAGCTGAATATTCACATTGAAATCAAAAAATATCACGCAGTTTTTCATGTTTGGTTGGTATATAGGAAAGATATTTAAACTGGAAAAAAAAACGTCATCTCAAGAAATTTTTTTCTGTTATTAGATTCTTTATCTTGTAATTTTACATTGATGAAATCTATGTTATGATCAGTATCTATGAGATGTTCAGATAAAGTAAATACTAGTTCTTCTTTGTGATCTACAATCACTCTTATGTCTAGTAATTTTCCAGGGCAATGGAAGTTTGTCCAGGTATATATATATATCACAACCACGACAGTTAATACTATAAACTACTCTTGAAGCTTTCAATACCTCATCCCTATCTTTCAGCTTAGACAAAATGTTTCCTATCTCTAAAATATGCTTGTAACTAATTTTCAGATTAACAGAAGAGATAATTTATGAGAAACTTCATTTATATATGTTATATGTTAATGAGAAATGGTAAATTGTTTCATTTACATAAGCTTCAGGTGAGGTATTAGCTATGCTTATTTGTGATAGGATAGCCTTAGGTTATTGTTAGCTTGTGATTGTTTTATTGTTGAGTCTGTGATAGAGAAGTCGTTATAAGAATTTTTTAATAAAATTTTCTGGATAAAAATTTTCTTTCAAAATTTTATGTATTTTTGATAATTTTTTTTTTGTTTTAAAGAGGGTTGTGATATTTTATTAATTCTGTTTCTTTAGGCGGTTAATTAAGTTGATTTTCATTTTATATGTATGATTTGGATAGCAATTTATGTATCTACCAGAATAGGTGGGTTTTGTATATCAATCCAAGCAAATGACCCAAATGTAGTTGTTATCAACTCTTATCAGTTTGGTGTTTAGAAATGGAATACTTTTTTACCAGACCGCTACCCCAAAAAATCAGAATAAATACATTTAAATACAAGTTAATCATTATAGGTTTTTTATGTTATATTTAGGATGACGTCATCGAACAAGGACAGACAATACATACATTTAATTACATAAATACCCGCAAATTTATTTGTATTTTTCATAAGGTGTACACAATTTTAGAAGTGACCTGCCTCTCGAACAAATCCAAGAGAAAGTGACGAAAAAATAAAAAAATTCTGGTCCATATTTTTGAAAAGGGTTTGTTCGAAATCTTCTATTCACTCCTGAAATATCTGGGAAAAGCTGTGTGAAAAGAGGCGTCTAACTAAACTTCATTCCAACGCAGCAGGATTCTGCGCAAAACTTTTGTGCGTAGAATCCTCGGTAGAATCCTTATAGAATCCGAAATTTGTATACTGAGTGGTTCATGGGACGGTTTTCGGATGGAAGGCACCTGATATGCCAAAATTTCATCCCTATGGCAAAAAGTTTTTTTCATAGACGGTATAGTATCAGACCTATTATGAATATCAGTTTATTCGTTTCAACCTGCCAAAAAACCGCTACAAGAACGGTTTCAGAACCACCCTGTATAAAAATTTCGGATTCTATGCACAAGTTTTACGTTTTGCGTAGAATCTTGTGCTAGTTCCTTGCTGGGTTGAAACAAAGCTTAGGTATCAGTGAATAAATTAAAACTTCGATTTAGTCTTTATTTTGCTTATTTATATTGTAGCTATTGCTGACTGAACGTGTTTATTTATAATGGTTTTTATGTAAGATAAATATTTACTTTGAGAAAGGGTTTGCAATTTTTTTTTTCTTTTTTTATAGGTGAAGGTAGTTTATACTATGAGTTCACTCGGTCTGCTTTTCACCAAATATTTTCAGAATCGATAATTAATAAGTTCCTTTATTTCTTTTAATTATAGCTTCATCACAATGCATTTTTGGACTTGGGTAAGTATGTGATTAAATCAACGTATTTTGATTACCCTGTATAAAATTTTTTTGTTACTGATTTCATTCAAAATTTTTGAGCAAAAATGCCTCCTATATAAAGTGTTTATTATATTAAACTTCAAAAGTTACAAAACAGAAATGTTCCAATTTTAAAAGGACCGCATTTTTATTTATAGAACGTTTCTTCATTTTTCGCTTCATTAATTACCACTCCGCTGCTTGCCAAGAAGGAAACATTAAAAAGTAAACCACTAAGTACATTTCTTATGGACTAAAAACATCCTTTGTTTGTTATACAATTGTTACAAAATAAACTATAAACAAGGAAGAAGAAAAAGACCACACACACTATCGCAATTTTAATACATAAATTATTAGTAAAATATAACAATAAATAACTATAAAAGTTAGGTTAAGGCATCGGAAAAATCGAAAGTGGTTCTCAGGTACTACACAACGCATTGTTTACCTGCTGGTACTACCAAGCAAAAGTTGACTCACCTGTGATTGCGACAACAAAAAGCGCCACAAACAATTTCATCATGGCTTCACAGAAAATTTTTATTCCCAGTCAAGAAAACAAGAAAAATTATTGTCCCGTAGAAAAAGTTTTACGTAAACTTCATCGTCGGTAACGAAACACCAGATACAAACATCGATATAACGGTGGTTATTAACTCGTCGACGGTTGAACGCGGACTCTAGTTGGGATTCCTTTTTCGAGCCGGCAACCTGTTTTCGTCGAGAATCGTCGATGCTCGGGGGAGGAATAGGAATATGAACGACTTAGTTTTTTTTTTTTTAGGTTATTTTGGTTTTTTATCTATCATCACCTGGATTATAGTGATAAGGATAAGGCAATCGCAAAATGATAAAGAGTTTGTTGTTGGTGCGAGCAGGTGGGGAAATGTGATGTTTATAAACGGAACACAAAACATCACATTGTCTTACTATATGAACATGCGTTTCAACAATTATCTAATTATCAACAATGATTCTTTCACACTCTGTCGTTTAATTTATCACTAATTTCTTCGGATTCTGTTTTATAGTGCGTCGTTGCTTCTAGATTTGTAAGTATTCGCTTTTCCTCGGAAAAAACTGTTGGGGATCGGGAGTTGACCGATGCCACGAATATTGAGTACCTACCTGGAATTTTCCGCTCGCTCCAATCTCGTACTTCGATCATTAAAACTCGGTATTGTATAAATATATTTCATTTATTAAAATTCTCATTGAGGGGGGGACACTTAGTTAAGAATGTTGAGGCAACCCGACTGTTCAGAGTGAAGCTCGGAATCTGAATACTTTGCCTTCAACCAAGGAAGGCAAGTTTGGACCTCCCTAAAGAAGGGTATTTTACAATTTCCTAAAATTAACTTATCCTAACAACATATTTTATTTAGGTGCTAAAATGTTACGAAACGTTTGTACAATCATAAACTTAAAATTAACCTAGGGGTTGTAATTCTCGCCATCTGTATTATAAAAAAGGCCTCGGAAGGTACTATGTCTTTGGCTGCAAGAGTACTTCCCATGGATTGTATTTGACTTAATTTTTATATTTACAACAATTGGGGTTTCTGCAATAGAAGTACCGACTTTCGAGAAATTGATGTGAACAGGACATTGGTTATATAATAATTCTAGCCGGCATCATCTTTGAACCCTAACAGCTTAAAGTATTGTTATAATAAAACTTGGGACTTAATTACACAGATGGTGGAACTTGAGAAGTGAAAATGTAGTAAACATTAGGATTATTGATAATATAAGTAGGTAATAATAAATTCACTAGTTCACAACAAAACATTGAATTTGCTTAATTTCATACATTTTGGAACATACATAGTTGAGATTTTCTGGATCCTTTTGGACAATGAAATGATTGAAATTCTACTACCACCAATAGAAAAATTAAATATTGGTTTATGAAAGAACTAAAAGACGACATTTTTGGATGTTTTATCTTGGCTTTTTGATGCACTCAAAAAAATCTTGATCATAATATCAATGAACTGCTTTCATAAATTACATTTTCATTGATTCAGTGAAATTTTCATTAATCCCAGGTACAGAAAACTGTAAGTATTATGATTTCATGAACAGCTATCATTAAAATAAAGAATGAAGCTTCATCAAGTTATGAATAGTCATCTACATGAATCTATGTTGAATAGTGCATCGGTTACAAGAACTAAGTTCATTGATATTATGAAATTAAACCTTGATATTAAAGAAAATTTCTTTGATGGGAGCTTCCACGGAATATTCATAATATAAATGAATATTAACATGAATAATATGAATATGGTTCATATGACCTTACTAGAAAATTATCCTTTTAAGAACGAAATTCATTGATACAATGTACGGTTCATTTAAAACAAGCAAGTATTCCTAGAAACAAAGCTGCAACCATTACATCAAGATAAATCATAAATACAATGAAACAGTTCATAGCATTAATGTAGACAGTTCCTAAGCACATGCGCAAAGGTAGCTGCAGTCGGGCAACGACATAGAAAAATATGTTGAAATAGGAATAATTACATTTCTATTTTCTGGGTGCACTGCTACGTACTTCGTTCAAGTCGGTTTTTTCGGTTTTGTGTTGTTCGAAGTGTTAAATAGAAAGTCGATTATACCTGTCGCCGGTTTTTTCTAAAGGTAAGTTGTATACCTCTATTACCTCTATAATATGTATACCTATTATGTAGGTAGGACTTGGATGCCTTGCACGGACACGGTCTAGTGTCAAAATGGGAATGCGAAAGAAATGACCTACAGATTTAAATGTCATCCGGGGAGAACGTGAAAGACAAAAGCGTCAAGAGCTCCTCAGAATTTCTAAGGAATACTGAAGTCTCTAAAAGTAAGTATACTCAATCCCAAATCAAGTTGTAATTTTTTTAATCGATATATTTTTGTTAAATGGTTTTGTTTCACTAGGTAGAAAAGCAGAAGATTCAATACCGCAGCTAGTGTTTCATAGCCGAGGCAAGGAAACCAGCCAAAGCATCAAATCTTATTTTCTGATGTGGCTTGTTTTAGAAACTTTGGATGTTGATAGTTCAAAAACAGCTGGAACAAATATAGATATAATATATATTTATGGAAACAGGATTTAAGGAGGATTTGAAAGATAATAGAATATACGGTTAGTGTCATTTAAAATAAAAATACATAAGTAGGTACTTAGATTTTTAAATTTTCAGATTTTGGGATGCCCATTGGTTTGTTTGACAATTCTGGAAGATGATACGAAGAAACCATGCAACTTTTGCATTAAAAGCTTTTTTCCTATTGCTCATATTCATCAGTACAGGGGACACGCAAATATAAAAAATGACCCTTTACCCCATTTAAAATCATAAGTATATTTAAGACATAATTCATGAAATTATTTTAATAAAAATAAAAAATATGGTATATATTATTGAAAACGTCATTATTAAATATAATGAATGCAATTCTTAGTATTCAAGACTGTGATTCATAAATACAATGAAAGGGTTTCATCAAATTATATCTGGACTTCATTAATATTATGCCGTCTGTTCATCAGGACAATGAAAAAGTACATATAAACTAAGAACGATGTTTATTGTTACTATGAAAAGTTTCATTAATACAAAAACCTTACTACATACCTTAATGTTCGTTGTTCATACACAAGATGAATCGAAATAGGAATTAAGAAATTGTTCATACTTCAATAACCTAGAGTTCATGTAATCAAAGAAACCGTTCTTTGGACCGATTTTAATAAATTGTTCATTAAATCTAAGAACAAACTTCTTTTTATTTATGCTACTATTTGGTTGAGTGTGATATCTCCATATTTTACTCCCTATATCGACATTAATATTATCGAAATCTTGGTAACCATATAAAGGAATATTGAGTTTAGTAATGTTCAAACCCATTCTTCAATAAATAAAATTCTACAACTTGTTACCATTTTTGATTACGAAATTGAAGAAATTTCACACCCTTACATTTTAATTTTCTTCTTGGAAACTATTAAGAAAGGAATTTTCAGACTTTTAAAGTAAAAAGATAACAGTTACAAGCTATTAATACTGAAATTTCAAATCAATCCACAATATATACAGGGTTGTCCTTATGTATGAATGGAAACGGCCTAGTATTTTTGAACGCGCTTCAGAACAATATGTAAGTACGATTTGTTGAGATTTTGTGTCCTAATGGTCCTTTGGGATCCCTCGAACTTCGTACACTAAATTATCCCGAGATTTGGAGCTGGATTTTATGAGAAAAAGCACTTAGAAAAATTGAAGAATTAATAAATCACCTCAAATTGTTTAACACAATTTTATTTCAGGAACCATAGCAAATGAGCTGAAATTTTCAGCAGTTGCAGTCCTCTACTAGAATAAGAATCGCTGAATATTTTAACTTTCTATCTCTAATAGAAAAAAAGTTTGACCTATCAAAGTTTTCCAAAATCAAAATCATGAGGTACCTAGCTATCTTACTACTATTTTTTTTTTGTTGAGATTTTGTGTCCTTATGATCTTTGGGATTCCCCGAACTCCATACGCTAAATTATTTTGAGATTTGAAGCCAGATTCTATGAAAAAAGGAACTCAGAAAAATTGAAAAATTGATGAATGACCCCAAATTGCTTAACAGGATCTTATCTCAGGAACTATAAGTGCAAATGTGCTAAAATTTTCAGGGATTGTAGTCTTTTGATTGGGATAAAATTCAGTAAAAGTTTCAGCTTTCCATCTATAATAGAAAAAAAGTTATGACCTTTCAAAATTTTCCAAAATCTAAGATATAAGGTAGGTAGGTACCTTCTTACTAAAACGATAAAATTTCAATTTTTTTTTTGTCGAGATTTTGTATCCTAATAGTCAATCAACAGACCTCAAACTCCATACACTAAGTTATTCTCAGATTTGAAGCCGAAATCTATGAAAAAAGACACTCAGAAAAATGGAAAAATTGATAAATCACCCCAAATTGCTTAACACGATGTTATCTCAGGAACTATAAGTGCAAATGAGCTGAAATTTTCAGGGATTGTAGTCCTTTGAAAGGGATAAAATTCAGTGAAAGTTTCAGCTTTCCATCTATAATAGAAAAAAAGTTATGACCTTTCAAAGTTTTACAAAATCTAAATCATAAGGTAGGTACCTTCTTACTAAAACGATGAAATTTCAATTTTTTTTTTGTCGAGATTTTGTATCCTATTGGTCAATCAACATACCCAAAACTCCATACACTAAATTATTCTCAGATTTGAAGCCGAAATCTATGAAAAAAGACACTCAGAAAAATTGAGAAATTGATAAATCACCCCAAATTGCTTAACACGATTTTATCTCAGGAACTATAAGTGCAAATGAGCTGAAATTTTCAAGGATTGTAGTCCCTTGAAAGGGATAAAATTCAGTGAAAGTTTCAGCTTTCCATCTATAATAGAAAAAAAGTTATGACCTTTCAAAGTTTTCCAAAATCTAAATCATAAGGTAGGTACCTTCTTACTAAAACGATGAAATTTTAAATTTTTTTTCTGTCGAGATTTTGTATCCTAATAGTCAATCAACATACCTCAAACTCCATACACTAAGTTATTCTCAGATTTGAAGCCGAAATCTATGAAAAAAGACACTCAGAAAAATGGAAAAATTGATAAATCACCCCAAATTGCTTAACACGATTTTATCTCAGGAACTCACACTGTTCCGGAACCAAGTATAGGATTTTCTAAAACCACAAAAAAAACTGAAAGCAGTGTTTTGTAGTGTGAGGTTAGTAGATCATGCCACACTGTGTCTTAAAATCGCAGCTGATCCTTCAGGCCAGTTATGGTCATTTTGGTCAAACTCAACGCCACACTGGCGAGTTGCATGAAGATAATTCAATTACTGCTGAACCCATTTGAACGAAACTCCAGTAGTTTATTCTGCTGTTATTGAAGAACCTTCGTTCCAATTTTTGTTAAATTTCATCAAAGCGTTCTTAAGTTATCACTGACCAAATCGGAAATACACAACACTTGTTTTATTTGCTTATTTTTCTTCACCCAGTATATTTCAATTTCGTCTATTACATAAAATCCTTTAATACTGGTGAGTAGAGTAAAAAATATATACATACAATATTAATAAAAAACCTTCCTTACAATTTTTTGTCGGTGTATTTATTTCTTTATCGCATTTTTGATAAAGAACTGTAGGTATTTTTAGGTTTCTTTTTAGGCATTAGGTAAACTTAATTTGCTCTTAGTGATATACAAGCAGTTGTATGTTAATTTAGTATAGTAGCAGTGCGCCTAAAATATGAGTTCAAATTCACATCCGTAGGTGAAGTGTGATCACGAGACCAATAGAAGAAAAGTTTGCGCAGGATGTGAGAAAAAAATCATTTTTGGCCAGCTAGCGGTTTTGCAAATGGACTATGGAGCAGTTACAAATAGTAAAAATGTTGCCTCTAGTTTCTTTCAGTACAACATTTTTTTCAAAATTTGGCATGGTGTGCAACAAAATTCTCTCATTGGGGTTCTTTTCCATTTCCGATAAAGTCAGCCTGCAACTTGTACAAATAGAGGAAGGAAATCGTACGTCCATAACAGAATATTTTTTGTTAAAGTGCTCACATATTAAAGACCCGATGCGCGCCGTGACTTTGAAAACTTGGGGAAAAGTTTTCCCAAAAATGATTTTTTTCCCACATCCTGCGCAAACTTTTCTTCTATTGGTCTCGTGATCACACTTCACCTTCGGATGTGAATTTAAACTCATATTGATAGCGCACTACTACTATACTAAATTAACATACAACTGCTTGTATATCACTAAGAGCAAATTAAGTTTACTAAAAATATAGTGCCTAAAAAGAAACATAAACAAACCTACAGTTCTTTATCAAAAATGCGATAAAGAAAGAAGAAAGAGAAGAAGAAAGAAGAAAGAAGATTTTATGTATAATAGACGAAATTAAAATATACTGGGTGAAGAAAAATAAGCAAATAAAACAAGTGTTGTGTATTTCCGATTTGCTCAGTGATAACTTAAGAACGCTTTGATGAAATTTAACAAAAATTGGAAGGAAGGTTCTTCAATAACAGCAGAATAAACTACTGGAGTTTCGTTCAAATGGGTTCAGCAGTAATTGAATTATCTTCATGCAACTCGCCAGTGTGGCGTTGAGATTTTGTATCCTAATAGTCAATCAACATACCTCAAACTCCATACACTAAGTTATTCTCAGATTTGAAGCCGAAATCTATGAAAAAAGACACTCAGAAAAATGGAAAAATTGATAAATCACCTCAAATTGCTTAACACGATCTCAGGAACTATAGGTGCAAATGAGCTGAAATTTTCAAGGATTGTAGTCCCTTGAAAGGGATAAAATTCAGTGAAAGTTTCAGCTTTCCATCTATAATAGAAAAAAAGTTATGACCTTTCAAAGTTTTCCAAAATCTAAATCATAAGGTAGGTACCTTGTTACTGAAACGATGAAATTTCAATTTTTTTTTTTGTCGAGATTTTGTATCCTAATGGTCAATCAACATACCCAAAACTCGATACACGAAATTATTCTCAGATTTGAAGCCGAAATCTTTGAAAAAGGCACTCAGAAAAATTGAGAAATTGATAAATCACCCCAAATTGCTTAACACGATGTTATCTCAAGAACTATAAGTGCAAATGAGCTGAAATTTTCAGGGATTGTAGTCCTTTGAAAGGGATAAAATTCAGTGAAAGTTTCAGCTTTCCATCTATAATAGAAAAAAAGTTATGACCTTTCAAAGTTTTCCAAAATCTAAATCATAAGGTAGGTACCTTGTTACTGAAACGATGAAATTTCAATTTTTTTTTTGTCGAGATTTTGTATCCTAATGGTCAATCAACATACCCAAAACTCGATACACGAAATTATTCTCAGATTTGAAGCCGAAATCTTTGAAAAAGGCACTCAGAAAAATTGAGAAATTGATAAATCACCCCAAATTGCTTAACACAATTTTATCTCAGGAACTATAAATGCAAATGAGCTGAAATTTTTTTTTGTCGAGATTTTGTTTCCTAATGGTCAATCAACATACCCCAAACTCCATGCACTAAATTATTCTCAGATTTGAAGCCGAAATCTATGAAAAAGGCACTCAGAAAAATTGAAAAATTGATAAATCACTCCAAATTGCTTAACACGATTTTATCCAAATGAGCTGAAATTTTCAAGAATTGTACTCTTCAACTGGAATAAGAATCGTTGAAAATTTCAACTTTCTATCTTTAATAAAAAAGAAGTTATGATAAATAAAAGGCAGGCAGTTTCCAGCTTATTTGGACTTTTTCTAAATTAAAGGATCAACAAACTGGCAGTAGGGTTAACATTAATAAATTCCTTTTTTATACCTATCAATGCAAATCAATAGCAAAATTAGTACCAAAGCATGAGGGCGAGAGTCAGTACCACTGGAACGTCTATTTGTCGTATAAAAAAAATCTATCGTACCTATTTTTGATAAATGCAATTTTTAACTCGAGTAATCTGGGTAAGGTATACCTACATACCTATACTATGATTAAATAATGAGTCAACACCGCATAAAATTATTTATGTATGTTCATGTGTATTTTAATTGGTAAATTTTAAATAAGAGTTTGTGTGGTATTTTTTGATGATTTATGTATCAGTCTTGAGTTTTTTAATTTCAAATTTTATATTTTTACAAACTGTATAACGTTCTTTGTGTTTTTCAGCCATGATAATTATACTCTAGGCATCGAAACGTTGGCTTTACTTTTGATTTGAAAATTTAGCAATAAAGTCAAAATAGTCTAAAATTTTCAGGGATTGTAGTACCTACTTACTCTACCAGAATAAGAATCGCTGAAAATTTCAGCACAAAATTTAAGATAGGTATATTTTTTCTAAGTTATCAAATATCCAAATCCTAAGCATAATTCAGACCTAATTTATTATTTAACGTTAACAGCAATTAAAAAAGTAGGTATTGTCTGGTTTTGATTTGAAAAAATGCCGGCAAATTTATCTCAGTTCATTCTCTCAAAACCCAAAAAAAAAAAAACAAATTTAAAACCCAAATTGCATGAATTTTTCGCAATTCGAATACCTATCGCTCAAAAATACCGTCCATGTCCAAATTGCTGGGCATATTTAGTGCAAAACGACCAAATTAAAAGTAGATCCACTTACGTGTAATGCATATTTGAATTTTCCATCAATTTTTTTCGGAATTTGCTATAATTAAGCCGGGAAAAATCATTAAAGCCTACTTTAAATTGGACAGATTTGTACAAATCCAAGTGTACCCAATAATCTAATCGAATCCACCGTTGGAAAAGACTCGTATACAAAAACAAAGGACAAAACTTTGCAGTGCTTTTACGCCTGTTACTCTTTTAGATTAAAGTTAATTAACGGCAAATCGACCGTACGAAAGTTCAGCAGTTTAATCCAATCTACTTTTAGGATACCTACATACATTGGAAGTTAACTTTCGTATTGGGATTTAATCAATTAATCCAAAACTAATTTCGGTCGACTGAAAAACTTCATCAAATATTCGAATACGAAACTACAAGATAATTTATAACCAAGTAATATCAGAAACTAAATAAAAATATTAGTTTGGTATTACAAATTTATGAAACAATACGATAACTAGTCATTAGCAACACAATGTTTGACATTAATTAAAAATAAAATGACAAGAAAAATTTAGTTTTTTAAAAAATCCTCTAAAAATTCCAGTTTATAAGCTCTTCAAAATTCCTAGTAGAAATAATGGTTTTCGTGTGTCCGACAAAAGAAGCAGCCGAAGCCATAACAAAAATGTCATCCCAGGTACAACACGCTCTTCAACATCTAGACGATAAACTCAAGGTACCAGTCAAGCCCTGTTGCATACCGTGTTGTGTACCAATGTGCGATTATCCAGAATCTGAATCGCACCATAAAGAACTCGAACCACCCAAAATAATGGTTTGCTACAAAGAACACGTTTCAAAAAAGCACAAGAGCAACCACAAAATTAAAAAACAATCAAGTCCCTCTATTAGACTTAAAGAATCAAAATCCAGAGAGTTAAGAGCCAGTATTTTATACACTGGCTGCCAGTGCGAAAAACACGACGGACTGCAAGACGATTGTCCTAGGACTGGATGTCACGGGTCTCCGGAATGTATGACCAGTCCGCCGACTTGCGGTCCCAGCGAATTTTGCGACGGTAAACATTTGGGCAAGAAAATCAAAGGGAAAAATGGTAAAGGACATGGTGGTAAAAACAATGAACATGAAGAAGATCACCATCGCGATAGATATAAATGTTTCGCTGCCACGCTTGACACACCGATTATGATCCCTTGTCCTCCGTGTCCTTGTCCTCCTTGTTTGTAATTTTCGTATTATTTTGTTTTTTGGTAATAAATATGCTTCTTAAGTACTAATTTGGTATCTATTATTATGATCAATTCATTGAAGATCATGGATAAAATGAACAAAAAAAATATATATAATTCAAGAAATTATATTTTTAATAAAGAAACATGATAATCCAATTCCAGGCAGTATTGGACAAGAATCTCTGGCTTTTTATTATTTTGAAACTAAAAGTTGAAATTATAAAACTATTTTGACAGAATAACTAAAAGTTAACTTCTGGGATGACGTTATTTCTCATAGTTAATTCCAGAAGTTAACTTTTAGTCATCTGTCAAAATAGTTTTATAATACCCACCCGTAGGGTTGAAAATAGACCGTTTGATTCCCAGCTCTCCAAGATTGATTGGGATTCTTAGGGAAAAAATTTTGGTTTCTGATTATTCTAGAATTAAAATTAAGAAAAACTCAGCTAATTTTTGATCCCCGTAAGGTTGAAAATGGATAATTTCATTCCTGGTTCCTCAAAAACTAATATTCAATAGAGAAGCATGATTATTTAATGCCGGGCAATATTTGAGAAAAAAGTTTGGTTTCTAAATATTGTAGAATTAAAATTGAGCCAACCTCAGCTCATTTTTGACCTTCGTGAGGTTGAAAATGGACCATTTGATTCCCAGTTCCCCAAAAGCTAAAATTTGTGATGAAGAAACATGATAATTCAATACCAGGCACTATTGAGGAAAAATTCAGGATTCTGATTATTTTAGAATTGAAATTGAACCAAACTCAGCTCATTTTTGACCTTCATGGAATTGAAAATGGACCATTTGATTCCTAGTTCCCCAAAAGCAAATATTTATGATAAAGGAGTATCATAATCGAATTGCCGGTATTTTTGGAGAAAAAATTCAGGTTTCTGATTATTCTAGAATTAAAATTGAGCTAAACTTAGGACATAGGATTGAATGTATATACTAACATGGAAATGTTGAGGGCAAGGGGTGGTTAACTCCTTAAAATATGTAGGTACACAAATTTTAAATCTTCTGATTTTGTAAAATTTTGAAGATTTTGAAAATCTTCATATGATTTCACAGGATTTCAAAAGATTTTAGGTGATTTTGGAGCATTTTAGGGAAGTTAGAAGGGTTTTTAGAGATCCTAAAGGATTTTTAGAGATTTTAACGGATTTTTGGGGATCCCAAAGGATTGTTGGAAATGTTAGAGGAATTTTTTTCTTAGGAATTTTATAGGATTTTAACGGATTTTTTTTTTCTTATAAAATTTTGTTAAATTTTTAAAGATTTTCAGGGATTTTAAGTAGATAGAGAAAAACTCGTTTCTGATGGGATTTTGACCATCTTTCCATCAGTTAACCGTTCGAAGTTTAGTTGACTCCGTAAAATGTGTACATAATTAAAACTTTATTGATTTTGTAGGATTTTGAGGATTTTAAAAATCTTCACGTCATTTTACAGGATTTTAAAAGATTTTAGATTTATGAGATTTTAGGTGATTTTGGATCATTTTAGGGAATTTAGAAATGGTTTTTATAACGTTTTCACCAACTAATTCAGGGGAGCTTTAACGATAAGTATTTTTTAAACTGACATTTCTCCATAGAAGACTGTCATTTGAAGGAATACTTATTATAAAATAGTTAGTGGAAACGGCCATCAAAGATAGAGATCCGAAAGAATTTTTAAAAATATAACGGATTTTTGAGGATTCCAAAGGATTTTTAGAAATTTTGAAGGATTTTTTTTTAAGAATAAATATTAATGATTTTATAAGATTTTGCCGGATTTTTTTTTTCTTTTTAATAAAATTTTGTGAAATTTTATCCGATTTCAAGTGATTTTTAAGGGACTTTGTGAGGTTTTGTTAAATTTTTAAAGATTTTCAGGGATTTTAAATATATCTTACTAGTTTTTCTGGACTTGTACACAGATTTTGACCAACCAACCGTTCCGAGGTTTAGTTAACTCCATAAAATAATGAAGATATATTTTAAATTTAATTGATTTTGTAGGATTTCGGGAATTTTGAAAATCTTTACACGATTTTACAGGAGTTCAGAAGATTTTAGATTTTAAAAATTTTTTAGAGATTCTAAATTCAAATGACAAATTTGAATGGAAAAACGAAAATTCCTAGACTTTTTACTATAAAATTTTATAATACTTTTCCGAATTTCATCATATGATTCTATGGAATTTCGTCATAAAATTCAATGGAATTGTTGAACAATAATTTCTCGGAATTATACACTACTTATGAAATTTCATGAAATTCTTCGGCATTCCACTAAAACTTCAAGTTATTTCATGGGAATACTGCGAATTTTTTTTTTAATTTCATTGAAATTCCTAAGAATTTCACTAGAAGATTTTACGGAATTCCTCGAAATTCCATTCAAATGACAAGTTTGAATAAAAAAAAACAGAAAGTCCTAGAAATTCTACCATAAGATTTTATAATACTTTTCCAAATTTCACCATAAGATTCCATGGAATTCCACCATAAAATTCAATAGAATTCTTGTACAAAAATTCCTCGGAATTACAGTGAAAGATTTCATGAAATTTTCCGGAGTTTCACTAAAATTTTATGTAATTCGACAAAAATTATTCAGAATTTCACTAAAATTTAATCTAATCCTCCGGAATTCCGTCGAAATTTCTCGTGATTCGATGGAAATTCCACAGAAATTCTGTTTAATTCTAAGGGAATTCTTTGGATTCCATGTAATTTCACTGGAATTCCACAATAAGAATTCAAGGAATTCCATGTATGTAATTCGACGAGAATTCCTTGGAATTTTCCTCGACATTTCATCGAAATTTTATGTAAGTCGACACAAAATGAAATTATATAATATAAATTGATAGAAATTTTGCGAATATTCCATAATTTTCTATTTTTTTTAGAAATTCCACTGAAATTCTCCAAAATTCTATAGAAATTCCAAATTCCATAATTTTTTTAAAACTTTAGGTACTGAAACTCCCCAAAACTTCACCACCGAAATATCCTAAAGTTCTACAAAATTTTCATAAAATTTTACGCAAATCACATTTCCTGTAATTTCACTAAAATTTTATGAGAATTTTTTGAAATTTCACTGAAATTCCACGTTATTAGTCGAAAATTTGTCGAAATTCCAATAAAACTTCAAAACTTTCTTCCAAAATTTCATTTATTTTCATAAGAATTTTTCAGAATTTCACTGAAATTCTCTTTCAATAGTCAGGAATTTCTGGGAATAATAAAACTTTAAGTAATTTCTTGAAATTTCATGTCATTATATGAGGATTTTTAGGAATATCACCGAAATTCGATGTTTTTAGCCGGAAATTCCTCGGCAGTCCACTTGTGGGCCACTAAATTATGGAATTCTGAGAGACTAACAGATTTTTGGGGATTCCAAAGAATTTTTGGGAATTTCAAAGGAATGATTTTATGAGATTTTTTTTTTATGAAATTTTGTGGAATTTTGGTAAATTTTTAAGGATTTTAAATTTTTTTAGCGATTTTGAGTAGGTCTTATGAGATTTTCTGACCAACTTGTATACGGATTTTGACCAGTTAACCACCCCTCGGTTGAGGGGGTAGTCAGAAACAAGAAAGTACCAGTGACGTATACTCGATCAATCTACAAATAGAGAACCATGCAAAAATATTCAAAACTGTATGATTATTCAAAAACTGTACATAGAAAACGGTATGGAAAATGGACTATTTGTTTCACAATTCCCCAAAAGTAATATTTGTAATGAACATGCCTGATTATCCAATTCCAGGCACTATTGAAGAAAAAAATTTGATTTCTACTGATTATTCTAGAATTAAAATTGAGCCAAATTCCGCTCATTTTTAACTTTCGTAAGGTTCAAAATGGATCATTTGGTTCCTAGTTCCCCAAGATTTGGATATTTGTAATAGAGAATCATAATAATCCATTTGCAGGCACTTTTGGAGAAAAAAATCTGGTTTCTGATTATCCTAGAATTAAAATTGAACCAAACTCAGCTCATTTTTGACCTTCGTAAGGTTAAAAATGGACCATTTGATTCCTAGTTCCCCAAAAGCTAATATTTGTAATAGAGAAGCATGATAATCCACTCTTAGAAACGAATCTCTGGTTTCTGATTATTTTAGAATCAAAATTGAGCCAGAGTGATCCAAACAGCTCCTTTGTATGGCTAAATTTGAGCTACTCACTGATTTATAATTGGTTCTTTCAGGGCTGAAAGCAGTAAACATAAACATAAACTACGATTTTCGACTAAACTTGAGTTAAATTAGCTCAACAAAGATTGGCCTTTCTAGAGCTAAAATTCAATAGAAATTTTAAATTAATTTAATAATTGAGTTGAAATTTGAACCCAGAGAAGCACCAAAATCCTATTAGGATTAAAACATTTTAAGACGCCGGAGACTTTGAAACTTAAAAACTATAAAGACACACAATTGTTATGATTCTACGAACCTCTAAGAACCTAATGAGTTCCAGGACTTTCGATTTAACACATAAAAACTGGAATTGATACAAATTTAACTAAAATAAGGACTTTGAAGTTTCTATAAGACTTTGAGGTATCTTAAAAATTGAAAATTCTTAAATCAGATTGAAGAAATACTCAAAAACCTCTATAGATGTCAAACTGAAAACCCTAAATAATCAGTTTCTTATCAGTGACTTAAACGATTCTTGTAGCAGTTCACCAAAAAGATCCGAGCTCATTTTGATAATTTTGCTTTAGTTGGCTTTAAAATTAGCCCCATCATTTAAAGCTACAAATATTAGGATAACAATCTTGATTAGACCACTTAATTTTATACAAATTTCCATATGGTTAAGCCCTGCTGACAGAATAAACCTAATAACAAAGAGGCACGTGCGCCACATTCTCCGGTTATAATTGGCACAGTGTTTTCATACCTTCACACAATTTTAATTTTAAATAGCTCAAGACCCTTTTGAGGGTGTTGAAAAAGGGCAGAATTCGAATTATCTTTGTAACTGCCATTCAAAGCTGGAAAAATTGACGTTTGATT